TGCCTAAAAGGTCACAAAAGTAGGTTAATATGCCTTTCAACTGTGCCCAGTGAAATGCACCTTGCTGATTCTACCTCAAAGCTTGCAAACAGTTCAACTTCATCCAAAGGATCCAAAGAAAAGTTTTAAACTAGGAAGCTAGTGGTTTCACCTGTACCAAGGCCATGAAATTCCCATCTCCATCCAATAAGATACTCAAGCACCCTGGGATTCCTCCCCTTGCCATAACTCCAAGGCTTACCCAACGTTTCCATGTTTTCTCATGCTTTTCTTGCTGTTCATGTACATGCCTGACCCCCCCCCAAGACAGAGCTGCAGTCAGCATGCAATCCAGACAGCTGCCATCCAGTGTGCCTTGGTTTTCCAAGGTTTTAACATGTTTCAGTAACAGAGACAGGTTATACTGAGGCACTTATTTGCCAATCCCAATCCATGTCAGACTTCCCCTTCAATTTCACACAAACTTAAGTTACTCCATTTGACCAATTTTCACCCAACCCCACTCTGCAGCACCTCCACCTGTACCAACAGCCACATGAAAGCTGTACTTGGCCATCCAGCACGGCAGTCAGCATGGACACAAGATCACACCGCTCTCTGCACTGCACCCAAGACGACCCTTGGATTTGCACAGCAATAGGAACTGCTGGATAAATGCAGTTTTCACCTGCTGCAGTCAGCATGATGCAGCTGATATTTTACCTCATTCCACCATTTCACAGTTTTCTCATCCTTTGAATTGTCTTACCAAAAGAAAAAAAAAAGCCAACAAAATCATCTCTTGTTTCTTGAGCCCGGCTCAAGTTGCCAGCACAGCCATCACACAGCCGCCTCAGCAAGCAGTAAGCTTTTTTTAAATCCAGCTATTTCCCAAAGCAAAGAGGGGAAGCCAGGTTACAGGACATCACTGGCAAGCTCAGCACTTTAACAAACACGAAGATAGAAAGTATCACCTGAAAGAACACAAAATTCCCGGAGGAAATAAAAAGTATTTCATTTACGGTGGGGTGGATTGATGGCTTAAGGCAAGCACTAGGCTCATGTCCTTAGAGCCATCTCAACCCTTTTTCCTTCCGCACAAAATCCTCTTAAGTGCTCTTTTTGTTCTTGTCCAGCTGATGGTGCTAACATTCTCAGATCCCAGGTTCTGCCTTCACCCACACTGCTCGCCCTCCCGCTCCGCAACAAGGATGTGATGGAAATCCCAAGGCACTGCACCAAGCAAGAACTCTGCTCTGCTCTCTGTAACTGAAAGACCTGGAGGACATCCTCCAGAACAGCACCAGCAATGACTTGCTCTGCAGCCCAGCTATGAACACTGAAAGCAATTTCTTATGGGTTTAAACCAAGAGGCAGGGCTCCCAAATCAACCCCGTGCTGATAAATAACACAAGCTATGCTGGTGGAATATAAAGCAGCAAGGCTGAATTTGCATTCAGCAGGAATAAAGCAGGTAATTTATGGGAAGGGCAGCTAGATAAGTCAAGGGCCTACAGATGCATTCTGCAACTCCTCAGCCTAACTCGGACGAGGCAGCACAAGCTCACAGAGCACAGGCTTACAGCAAGCTGCACTTCCACTAAATCCTAAAGGAGGACAGCGGGGCCAAAAAGAGAACCAAATAATACAAGGAAGTCTGATTCTTTGATGCCAAGGACTCAAGCCACCATTCTAGGAAACCAAGCACCAGGTATTACCTAACACAATTAAAGTAATTCTAAATAAAAGCCTATTTTAGACAACCGCAGATAGGAAGCAGATCCCATTTCTGATTCCTGAACTCGGAGATTTGTTGCAGCTAAAAAGCCAGAAGGATTGGGTTGCCACTCCATTTGGCATGGAAAATTACAACTTTATAATTAGGAAACAAGCAGAGCAGCTTCCACAAGCATTCTCCATTTTCTCCTCGTAATAAAACCTCTCAGCTCAACCAGCAGGGAGACATATTTAAAACTTGCTTGACCCTTGAATTCCTGTTCAAGTCAGAAGAGCTTTGTAATAAATAAACAAACAAACGTAACCTACCAGCAAACAAACCCTGCACTACAGCACAGCTGGGGGGACCAGGAAGGTGGGAAAAGGTTTAAAATGCTCAGACATTCATTGCTCCTTCACACCGCATGGATGCCACGCACAGGGGAAATTCAGATTTGAAATCTCACCGTTTTAAGTGCAGTTTACCCTCTTCCTTGCTGGAAATGGCAAGGAATTAGGAAAAGTGGGCAAGCTGGGGGCAAAACAATGCTTTGGATCTTGTGCATTAGGGGAAGAGAGACAAAGGTTTGGTTGGGCATTTCAAACTCTTCAGAACTCCTTACATAAATCAACAGAAAGGAGTGAAATTTTAACGCGCAGTGACTGACTGAGGATACAGATGAAAACAGACCAGTTTCATTTTGAGCACCTTTAACGTTTGGAATTTCATCCTTTGTCTGGAAAAAACACAATCATTGCACCGTATAGAAGTGGGACAGAAATCCAGGCTCAGCACAGACCTGAACTCCAGCCCCAGCTGCCTGCACCTTTCAGAACTTCATACTCAGGCAGTAAAATTGCAGCTCTTCAGAAGGCACTGAAACAGCTTCATGTTGAAACAGAACTCGAGGCAGCACGGCGATGATGTGCACAAGTTCAAGGGGAGGAAAAAGAAATCAGCTCTACAATTAGAATTAGAGTAAGGAACATTTGGATGTGACCAAACATAGCTCCAAAGGGCAGGCAGGAGAATTCTCCATGCACAGTCTGGAGCTCATCAGCCATCCTTTGCATGGGAAACTCAACTGAGAAGAAGCCCAGCAGACAACTGTAGAACGTGTCTTTGCCACAGAGAATCATTTAACTACTAATGTAATAAGCACTAAAAATAGTAATTCAAGAGTTAAACTCTGCTTTCATTCTGGTTCATTCCCAGATTCCAATTAATAAGATATCAGCATGTGTATTTACCATATGAGGAAAGCCCATCTGAAGATCTCGTGGTTCAAATATTCTCAAGCCAAAGATTCAACATCACTGCAATCACAGCATTCCCTGTCCCAACGACACCCCCAACTTGATTTACTTTGAGAATTTGCCTTTTAAGACAGCATTTATCTAAGCTCAGATACTTGGCTTACAAAATACAGACTCTACAAAATAACTCAAACCAGGATTTCTCAGGAAGCACAAGGTGCAAAGGACATGCTGTGAGCACTGATAACCTTCCCTGAGCTGATGCCATGGGTTTCAAGAGTGACACAATCAGAAACAGACTCAGAGTTCAAGAAGATGAAAAAGCGTCTTCCTCAGTTGATTGATTTCACACATTTTACATTATTTTGGTAGCACCTGTATAAAACAGCAGCTGTGCCAGTGCCATTTTAGCTCCTTCATGCTCCATCTGAGTATTGTCTATTAAAGCAAAAGATCCTGGGGGTGCTCTAGAAGAGAACTAAAGCTGAAACTGGAAATTGCACTGTCTGCATAATGCTGATTATAAGAGCAAGGTTTTATTAACACATCACCACAGCTCATTTACCTCTTGTAACCAAGCCCAGTGACCTTTCTTGCAGTAGGCCTGGATAAACCACACTCCAGTTGCCCCACTCAGTGAGCAAGCCTTCAGGTGTGTACACAGCCACCACAACACACAAATAACGGGGCAGCTGCCACAGGTTCCTACCTGAAGTCCACCCAACTGCTGAGTCTAGCACAGTACTGGAGATCCTGGTCAGGTTTCTCCCGTGCCCACTGCTCTCCGTGACTAAACATGAGAAATCAGAAGACAGCAAAAAGCTTATAGCACTCACAGGACTTCTAAAGAGCTTGTGCTTTATCTCCCCTGAAGAGTGATAAAATCACACACCTCAACTGAATTATTCTTACAGTATATTTTTGCATTCCCTTAAAAGCAGCAAGTATCACCACTGTTGTTTTACATGAAGCCTGCTTGTTTTCCTTCAGTTCTTTCTGTGTGAGGATTTCTGCTAATGTAGAAGTCAGGACAGTTGGTTGAACTCCTGACTAATAAATCCTGCAGCAGGTCTCGTGCACAAAGACTTCAGCCAGGCCTCCAGGTCTAACATTCACAGGTGAAGTTAGATGCTCCATCATACCAATCCCACGCACAGGTGCCAAGCACAGCTTTGCTCCAACAGGCACAGAATCTTGACCATAGGCATTCTTCACTTTCCACTAGAAACCAAAGATCTTCATCCTGCGCCATATAAGTGGTGGGATCACCAGGACCTTCAGCCTCCAGAGGAAAGGATAAGATACTGCCTCTGAAATTCTTACAGTTGAAGCAAAGGATTGATTACTCAACCAGTCTTCATGTACAGCCAGACACATTCTTAACCTAACTATATTTGAACGGTCTTAAAAAATGTCAAACCACAAATTCCGGAGCAGTACCAACACCGGAGCAATTACAGCCCTAGAGGCACGCCGTGTTACAGGGGTTCGGCAGGCACCTCGCCAGGTGGGCCGGGCACAGCAGGCCGGCTCCGCCCTTACTACTGGGTGCGCCCAGTGGAGATGAGACCTCCAGGGCTGCACCCCCTCTACGCACAGCACCAAAGGGAAACCGAAGGCTTTGTCCCTTGGGCGAGCTCATCCCGCCAACACGGCGCAGCCGGACTGCGCGGCTGCAGAAGGCAGACTCCAACACGAACCCTGGGAACACCGCACAGGGCAGCGGTGTCGCTCCGGCCAGGCTCGGCCGCCCCGCACGCCGTCGGTTCCCGGTTCCGCACAGCTGCGGAGGGACGCGGAGCTCGAGGCGGCGCTCCGCCCGCCCGTTCCGGCTCCGTTAGACGGCGGCACCGCGAGGCGCCAGATCCTGCTGAACCCCTGGCCCTACCCCACCGCCCCCCGCGGGCCCTACCCCTACCGCCTCCCCCCGGTGCAGGCCGCAGCCGGGGCCTCCCTCACCGCCGCCCCGGGGGAGGGAAAAGGAAGCGGCAGGGCGCGGCCGCGGGGCTGGAAGCGGCGGATTCCGGCGCTTCCCGCGCGGCGCTCACCATGGCGGCTCGGCGGGGCTGCGCTGGGCGGTGGCAACGGCGGCGCCTCCCGGTCCGCTCCGCTCCGCTCTCCCTCCTTCCGAGGCAGGCCACGGCCCTTCCACTTCCGCCGTTGCCTAGGAGTGAACATCCGGGTCAGCGCCGCGCCGCCCCACCCCCCCGCCGCAGTCCAACCAATCAGAGCGCGGCTCGCCGGCCATCGCCAAGTATGGAGCGCTGCGCGCGTACGGGGCGGGAGAGAAGGGCGGGAGGAACCATTCCGCGCCGCAGGGCGGGGGGAGCAGCGCCAGGCGCTACCAACGTCAGCGCGGGGGTGGGGAAAGCTGAGACCGGAAGAAGCGCGGCCAATCAGGTGGAGGGGGCGGGGCCTGCGGGAGCGCGCCGGCGCGCCGCTATCGCGGTTCTGCCCGAACGCCTGAAGCCGCCCTAAGGTGGGCGGGAGCGCAGCGCTTAGTGCTGCAGAGTGCTGCTTGCAGGGCGAGGCGTGCTGCGGTTATTCCTCCATTCCCTCAGTCCCAAAGGACAGGTGATGAGGAATAGTCGGCTTCTGGCTAATTAAGGATAAGGGTAATTTGAACAGCAAGTGTCCAGCTTGCCTGGGAGCGTAGCTTTGATTCTGTAAAGCGTGCGTGTGCCTGCTGGAAGGTGAGCAGGTGCTCGCACGTTTTGGTGACTTTGGAGCTCAAGAAGCTGATACACGTCTGTGAAATAAAATCAGTGTGTCCGGGTAAATGAAACACTCCTGCTTTCCTCTGACTGTCCTTGGAAGAAATCTCTTCCTAAAATACTTGATTGCCTTTCAGTGATCTCAGGTAAAACCAGTCCCCGTTTCTGACTGTCCTCCCTGTGCAGAGCACGTCAGTCAGTAGTGGCACAGCTCTCCGCTGCAGCTTTTTGGGAGCAATCTTCGGGGCTGTGCTTCATGAGAGCTTTGTGCCAGGATCCTGAGAACCCTCTGCTGGTGCTCCCTGGCTCCTGCATTGCAGGCTTGGCAATGGTGAGCCAAAAGCCCAGCTCCTGCTCTGTTTGCTTTCCTTCTTTGCTGTAGAAACTGGAAATGCTGTCAAGGGGAGTCATGCATTGCTTCCTGCTCTGATGCAATGGTGTGAAACCACAGCCTGTGTGCAATTGTAATAGGACTTATGTATTCTTAAGTGAACTGCTTCATTTTTTCCTGGGAGGTGACATTTTGTGGTACATCCACCCGCCAGGAGATAGCCAAGGCCAAGCTCTGACTTTCCACTAAAACATTATCACAGATGTTTTTGGTTTGGCTGTCAATTTTAGTAGCTCTCAGATACCAAGCAGAACCTTCCAAGAGATGGCAGCTGGGGCTGTGCTCACTGCACTTAACAACACAGGGCAGAACAGCTGCAACTTTCAGCTTCAAGGCAAGAAGCTGATTTCCAGGGATGGCACATGTTAGCACGAGGTGGAACTGCTGGAGGTCATGAATTATAAAACCCAAACTGTCCTATCTGTTGATGACTGTTACTGTTACCCATTTTTCCAAGTTAACCTTGGCCTATATTTGGTTGATTTGTTTGGTTTTTTTGTTCTTTTTGGTGAAGAAATAAAATGATTCTGGGAGGCAAAGAGTGGAAAGCAGAAGAATGATAACCTCAGGAAAAAAAGGAGCTATGCTGCTTAACAAACAAAAGCACATGAAAAAACACTACCAAACAAACCCTAGGATGGGAAATAATGCCTAGTAGAAAGGCCACATGACCTCAAAAGGCATTTCCTGCCCTAGAGTCTCCAAATTGAATTCTTTGCCAGTACTATTCAGCCTAACCTCCCTGAAGCCAGTTTGTAACTTGCAGCAATCCAAGCTCCTTCTATTTCCCAGTCCCCACATCCTTCAGTCCTTACATTCCTTCAGAGGTTCCTACCAGCACTAATTAAGAAAAGGCCGCCTTCATTACTCAATAGATTATTCCTTCCTTTTACAGGGTTCCACACGTCTAATGTGCATGTTTTCCTTGCAGCAGGGTCTGGGAGGGCAAACACATGCTCTAAGCTTCACAGCTTTTGTCACAAAACTCATGCAAACTCCTCAATGACTGTTTTGCTTTTAGGTCTTACAGTTAATGAACAGAAAAGGTTTCTAGCTGCTTGGTGAAGACAGAGCAAAAGCAGATTTATGTAGCCTGCTATATTTTAATTAATTTGAGATCTGAATGAACGTTGATGCCAAGAGGATGTTTTTCTTACATGAAGAAATACAAGCATTCTGGAGTTTGTTTTCCTGCTAATAGGTATAAAGCAGCATAAGCAGCTGCTTTTTGTTTTCCCAAAAATATTTGCATTAAGAAGATCCGCAGATTCCTTTTGAAACTGATGTAACGTCTTTTCAAATGAGGACCAGCTGCTCGCTTTGCTTGTTTATAGCAGGACATGCTTAAGGGAATGTTTTTGTTTGTTTATTAAGATGTAGGAGCAAGCTCTTCCTTGCGATCTGCAGTGAGGAGATCTCAGCTGGCACAAAACTCAGTGTATGCAACTACAGTTGTGGCCATCCTACCTTCTGTTGCAGTTCTCGGAGAGGCTGACACAAAACAAAGCTTATTCAGTCTGTGGCTGGGGGACATTCAGTAGGTCTGAGTGCTGTGAGGCGGCGTTAGCTGCACTCCAGGCACGTCCCACACCTCCCAGCATGGAGTCTTCCACCTACAGCCAGGAGTGTGCTCAAAGGGCTCAGCAGCAGGCATTATGCATCTTAGAATGAGGGCCTATAAACAAAGGAAGCAAACAATTATGTTAGTTGGTGGCTTACCAGCCCTACAACATCGGATTCATGTGCAACTAATAAGAAGGCTTTTCATCTTTTAATCAGCAACTATAAAATACATATGCTCTCCCTGTACTTTTGATTATATTCAAGGAAGCAAAAGGATGAATACTTCTTTTTTAGCATTGTCACGTTTAGCCAGAGCTCCTTCAAACACGATATGCTTTTTATTTTATCCTCCTTGCATGTGTTGCATGCATGGTGAAACCCTGTTTATTTTGTTTATTCCAGTATTTAGCCAGGACCAAAATGAGAACATGCTTAGAAAGCAGGTCCTAAAGAAAGCTTTAACGCTTCACCAAACACTCATTTTTCCCCTAAAGAAAAAGACATCTTAGGCTTCTTTTTCTTTTCTTTCTTTCTTTTTTTTTTTTTCAGTCAGATTGCCCATTTTCTTTCATGTCCAGCTTGAGGCACTTGAAAGATATGTAAACTTTTTATTAGGGGTTCTCATAAATTGAGTTTACTGCTGCAAGAGTCTCCACTTCCAGCAGTGGTAGAGTTTAGCTTGCTGGTTTGTATTAGTCAGTCTGTAAACCAGCAGCTTCACTTGATTTGAGACTGAAAACTGAGCGTTTCTTGGAAACTAACATAGAAAAAAGTACCTGCATTGCTACCCAATGGTTTGGGATTTCGTATTCAAGCCATAGATAGTTCTCACTATGGAGATCTTTGCACACATTGTCAAAATAGCTGCGCAAACAATAAAAACCGCCTCCTTCCCAGTCCAATTCCAAGGCAGCTTTGCTGAGGGTACTCTTGTAAGAGCTGATGAGAAAATGAAAATACGGTGTTTGGTAAAAAGCAACATGCTGTCCATCTGGAGAGGTCTGAGGCACTCCTCCTCCCATGCCAAGAGCACTAAAACAAGGCTCCAAAACGAGACTCTTCATCAGCATCCAGGCAGACAGACTGCCTGCCTTAGAGGTTCGTTTGGATAACATAAAAGGCAATAAATTCAGTGGCCTGAAAGGTCCACGTAATTGCTTATTTCAGTCCAGGAGTACCTGCCCACCCTCATGAGTGCCTTCACAAACACCTTGTAGTTGTTTGCAGCCACACTCTTTCTGTGTCCCACAGATTTCCACCCAGTTGTGTTTCACAGAGTGCATGATGCCAATGGGCAAATGTCAGTGATACATCTGAAACCTCACCACACAAAACCCAGCAGGGCCTGCTCACAAAAGGACCACGAGGCTTTCTTTAAATATCAATCCCAAAAAGCAGCCTGCAGAATTACTGAGATTGTTTTTCAGCACATGCCTCTTCATTGTGTATTCAGGGATGCTGTTTACTTCTGTGCTTGTGATTGCAACTTTACCTTCATATTTTAAGCATAGAAAGTGCAATAGGAAAGACCTCTCAGAACTGTCTTTAGCCTGAGCAAAGAATATAGAGAACATTCTTGTCAAGCCTGGTCATTAACTGCACTAATAATGCCTCCAGCCTGTCATTAAAACAAAAACAAGGAGAAGCTGATTAAATGCACCAGAAAGAAACAAAACTTTCCATTGCTTTCTTTCTTCCTTGACACGTTGCACTTCACTGGAAGCGTGCTAACATACCAGCCAAAAGAGTTGTAAGGGCTTGGATTCCTTCTTAATACAATAGTCACGGTTCACTAGTTAGAATCTGCATGGAAAAAAAGTGCTTAAAGAGCTGAGGAAGAGTGCTCTCTGCAGGGATATTCGTTAGGCAGTCTATCAGCACAGAGCAATAGCACTTTTTCAACAATCAAACTAAAAAACGGATCACAAAGTAGCAGGCATCCAATGGAGGCGCGCTGTAGTGGTGCTGATTCCTGCAAGGGAAAAAGCCAAAATACAGGAGTTAGCAAAAGCTCAGATCAATCTTTCCATGCAAAGTGCTTTCCTTCAGGTTCCTGAACCAAACTTCGTATTCATGGCAAAAGCAGCTTAAAGCAGAATTAGCACAACGAGCTGTGACACGTCTTGTTCCGTTTTTAAAGTTCCACTTCTATCAGCTGTGGCTGACAACTGTAACCAGCACTGCTGGATGGAACTGAATGTAACATTACGTCAGCTCTGCAAAACTGGCATGAAAATACATTAGCACAGACACAGGATGGACTTATTAATGTGAATGTGATCACTGTAAAGGGCTGAATGATCACTCTGCATCACGAGCTGTGTTTCCTAATGCAGTACCTCAGCCCTCAGCCTGTTGTTCACCCCCACGGATCTGAGTGCCTTCCACATAAAATCAATAAGAATACAAAGTAGACTTAATGGAGCCTCTGGCACTTTTCCCACTTGAAGGCAATGTCCTGCTGAAGAGGGGTTTCTTTCTCCTTGGAATTTGGATTTAGTCTTCTTTTTGTTGTGGCTCGAGTAGCAAGGAGGCTTTCCAAGAGGAAAATAAGCATCAGTATCTGCTGGCAAACACTGATGTGTGTTCCTCACTAAGCGTGAAGAAAAAATAACCAAAGTGGTAACCAAGAGAAGCGTCCAGCCTGGGTTTCATTCTCTCTGTAACATGAAAGAAGCAGTCTGAGAGCAAGTGGGGACCCACTATGGCTGTGTCAACCAATTCAAGCAGATAACTCCTACGCTGCTGTGTTCCCATGCAGATTACTGCTGCTCTTGGCAAGAAAAAAAGTGTGTGGGAGGGGATTCATGTTATTTAATAAATATGCGAGAACTTACATGTGTATTCCTTGGAAAAGAGGAGTTTGGGAACACATTTATGCTCAACAAGGAACTGACAAGAGAGATGCTATAGGATTGTTTGAAAACACGCCTTGCACCAGAAGAGGCGATATACTCAGCCCAGGCAAAAGCCAAGATTTAAAAGAAAGTCAGTTGTAGTTTTGTAACAAAAATGATTGAGGGGAACGTGAATTTGTCCCATGTTGCATTATGCACAAGCCAGGGCAAAGGGTGAAAAGACAAGTAACAGCCTCAAGGGCTTGAGCTGTGGTTGGTGTAGCAGCAGGGAAGCTCTTCACCTCTGGGTACAAGCAGGGACTGTGCCTTCTGCAGGCTTCTGTGCAGCTTCTTCCCTAGGGAAACACAGTTCTTCCCAGCTCTGTCTCCTGATTGTTTGATGGCCATCTGTTGAACAACAACCCACTGTGTATTTATGGCAATCCCTAATGTTTAACTGTGGACAATCCTATTATTTTAATACTTTAAGTGAGGTATACAATTAAGTCAATTGGTGATAGAAGATCTGAACTCATTACAGTTTGATTTCCGTCAGAGAAAGGTAGGGATTTTTGAAGCTTTTTCAGTGCTCATCCTCCTCTATTTTTGCATTTTTATTTTCTATGCTGACAAAAAGACTGGAAAGGAAGGAGAAGAGAGTGCAAGGGAAGAAGGGAGGGAAGGTAGCTCACACCAGACTGTGAAATGTAAAACAGGTTTTTCAAAACTATGTGTTCTGAACATCACCTTGGAGTCATACAATAATAAATACTCTGTATTAAACTCAGAGGGTCTAATTGCCAAGTTACTATAGCAATGGGGAGAAAAGGCTGTCTTTGGACACATTCTCTCCTGCCTTAGTTTTCCCTTGGGTAAGCAGGGGAGAAAGGGTGCAGAAAATGTGTTCTAGATTGTTAATGGATAATATTTTCCAGAGACCCCTCTCATCAGTCAGTGACTCCAGGATTTAAAAGAAGCAGACATTTCTCAGAAGAAATCTGGACATCCAAAACAATTACACTGAATTATTCCACCTCCTTAGAAGGGATTTAAAGCATCGGGTTCCTGACACCTGGCTGTCAAAATACTTCAAGACCCATTACAGAGCAACATGACCCTTTACAAATCGTCTTACAGCCCAACAGCTCACCACCACTTCCTTCATCCGTGAAGAAACAGAGCATTCCAGCAACTCGAAAAGCCTGAAAACGAGTAAGTGTGAAGTGAAACTACACATTGGCAATAACAAATACCAGCACAGGCCAAAGAGAAGATGGTATTTCTGGGTTGTTTTTAAAAATGTTGATTGCTAGAATTTAAATTGGGGGGGGAAAGAAAAGAATTATCTGGATGCTTCAAATATCTTTTCTCTCCTAATATTTTTCAGAGCTGAGTGTGCCTGGAAATAGAAGGGTGGAGCTGGCACACTGGGATGTACCACAGGATCAGCAGTTTCAAAAACACTCCTTCATTCACTCAGGGAAAAAATTGCTTGATGCTGCTGGTATTTTTATAAGCAATCTGATGCATGGCTCTATTTTTGATACTGACCCCAATGTGAAGTGATGCGAGTACAGTGGATGGGAAAGAGGAGAAAATGAGGCTCCCTTTACAGGGAAACAAGATTTGCCTTCTCCAGTGAAAGCTTTTAAAGCTGCAAGGGTTTGGTTTAACCGTGTGCTTTCTAAATAAATAAATTAGATTGTTAACTAAGTATAACTTCTGTTTGTAAGAGCCAGTTATGAACATTCCATGCTTTAGTGAAGGAGTGAAATCAATGCCTCCTACCATTGCTTTAGATCAAGAACAGTTACCAAAGATAAACCAAAGTACACAAACGATAACAATAAATAACTTCAGAAAATGTTCACCCACTTTGGAAAGTTCTGACATTTATTTATCAGCTTGGTCTTTCTCTTTTTGCCAGTTTTCTAAAACTAAGCCTTCTCCTCCCTAAGTTGAACTTCATCAAAACAAGTAAACACTGTTAAAAATTCATACTAACTTATGATAAACACCCTTTTTTTAATTATTTTTTTTTTAAACGAGGCTTCTAGATTAAGACTTATAGAAAAAAAAAAGTGCTACACAGTACACATTACAGTAAGCTTGAAACTATTTACACACACATCCCCAGTTCCACAGCACTGCAGCCCACTTCAGGCTATACCCTGGTGATTCACTTAAGCTCATAATTCACTTAATAACTCTCCCACAAATCCTCACCCTAATGCTGCTGTAATCACGTCCTGAAGAGCGCTCTTTTCTTTCTGAAAATACTCAGATGTTCTTCCCACATAAGGAAGCAGGCTGTAGGGCTGAGGCTGGCCTTAAGTAAAGGAAGCAATGCCTAGGGTAACACTGGGCTGGTAACTGCTGTCTGTTCACACCTGTGCCTCATTTCAGGAGCTGTGCAAGATGAAGGTCCTCTGTGACCTTTCTGCTGTGGAAATGGCTGTCTATGGGATGAAACGAACTCTGACAGGGCCCTACAGCAAAAAGGGCTCTTACCGAACTAGAGGTGGGAGCCCTGAGGGGAGCAGCTCTGCGTGGTGCGCCCTGCTGTGGGGGGATGAGGATGCTGCCTGACGGATCTGTGTCCTTGCAAGGGCATGGCAAGAGCCCTGGATGAAGACATAGGGCCCAGGAGGGGCCGGAGCTTCGGAGCCGGGCACTGCGGGGAAGAACAGCCCTTTTGAGGCTGGAGACTGTGGGGAGGAACGGCCTCGAGGCGAGGAGCCGCCATCGCGCCTTCCCGCCAGTAACCTTGACAACGGGTCGAGTGAAGTCTCGCGAGATATCCCTTGCCGCCTCCAACCCGCGGCGGAGAGTCTCGCGAGAATTGCTGTGAGGAGGAGGAGGCGGTAGAGGCGCGGCCTGAGGTGGGAGGGGTCTGTCAAGATGGCGTCGGAGGGCGAGCTGGGCAGGAAGTGGGATCGTTGTCTGGCGGACTCCGCCGTCAAGCTGGGTAAGGGCGGGGAGGGCCCGGCACAGGAGGAGGGCCTGGGGAGGAGCGGTGGCAGCTCGGTGTGTATCTGGGGCTGTGCGTGCCGTCGCTCGGCAGGCTTTGTGCTGCGGCCATGCCCGGCGGGAAGGGCCCCGTGTGGCCTTGTGCCACCTGAGGGCCCGGGCCGGGCCGCCGAGCGGCGGGCGGAACGGCGAGGGGTTCCGGAGCTCCGCCCCCACCGGGAGGGCCGAGGAGCGGAGCGGCTGGAGAGAGCCCCGCAAGGTGACCTTGGCGGCGGGCTCGGACCCCCGCTGCTGTGACCCGGCCCGGCTGATGGCGGAGGGTCTGGTTTGACCTCTGCTTTGACGCTCCTTGTGATAAAGGTGAGCGGTGTCTGTGAGAAATGCCGTCAGTACTGAGCCCAGATGGGCTGCGTTGCTGCATCCGTCCCTGCCACCACCTCGGTTTTGCCGTGATGGAAATTTGGGTTTAGAATTATTTGTGTGCGAGGTGGGCTGCGTTTATTAAAAGCAGTAAGCAGCATGGCACACCGATAGCTTTGGGTGTGTTCCGTAGTGCAGTGTGCATGCTTTGACATTGAGCTTTGCATCTGGCGTTCCGGCTCTGCACACAGCTGTGTCTCTTCTTGAAGCATTAGAATGTCTCTCCTTGTTTTCTTCTTTGCTAGGAGGAATGGTTTTAAACTGAGATGGGGGAGGTTTAGGATAGAGATAGGAGGAAATTTTTCCCCCAGAGGGTAGTGAGGCACTGAACAGGCTGCCCAAGGAGGTTGTGGATGCCCCATCCCTGCAGGCATTCAAGGCCAGGCTGGATGTGGCTCTGGGCAGCCTGGGCTGCTGGTTGGCGACCTGCACACAGCAGGGGGTTGGAACTGGATGAGCATTGTGGTCCTTTTCAACCCAGCCCATTCTGTGCTTCTATGACTGTATGTGTGTTTGAAGCGATTCACGTGCAGCAAACCACTGATAAGTTTTCACATTTACCTGGGAGTTCTGTGAGTGAGCAGAGCTCATTTGTGTGGTTTGGTGATGTCCACGTCGCTGTCTGAATGAGAGAGTGGTTGTGGCTTTGTGGAGAAGAAACATGGTGATGTAGCACTTAAGGACGGGGTTTAGTGGGCAGTATTGATGGTAGGCAGACAGTTGGACTGGGTGATCATGGAGGTCTTTTCCAACCTGAATGATTCTGCAGAAAGAGTGCATCAAAGCAAGTCTTTAAATGCTCTGTACAGAGTGACTTGTGTCTGATATGGGAGGAGTGGCTGTCCTGTTGGTGCAAAAGTCTTTTTTTAGAGACATAAATAATATCTGAGAAATGTGAGTGTTTATCTCTTGTTGCTCTAGTGGCCTTAAGCTTGAAAGCTGATGAGGAACTCGGGGCTTTAGTTACCTAATACTTTTCCATTAGAAAAGATGTTTAATAATTTTGAGTAAACTGAAACTTCCATTGTTTATAACAGGCCTTTGAAAAGTGTCAAGTACTGTGGAGCAATGTTTTGTCTTCTGAAATTCTATTCAGGTTTGCCTGACAAACATATCCAGATATGTTTATGTTTCCATACCATTGGTTGCTTTATCATAAAATATTAAGTATGCCAAATTATAAACAAGAGCTTGTTCCATGCTGCAGCTGTACATGCAGGGGTCCTTTATGCGCAAAGCCTCCTTGGGAGGCTGAAAGAAGCAGATTCAGCTTAGGTTATGATGCAGCATGCCTCTTTATCAGGCCTTTTGTTTTCAGTTGGTGTTTTCTTCTATCCAAAAGTGGTGTTGGGGGAAATAAGATGTACTTAGAATTTCTGCATTAGAGCTCAAGAGTTCCTGCTTGTTATCTTCACAGTGGCATTGAGGAGAGGTTTAAGTAAAATTCAGGTTTGTCAGTGGGGTTTGTCAGTGCATTGCCTTGGGATGGTAGATGAGCTGCCCTCTTTGATTTTTATCCTTGGCTCTCCTTCTCCTCGTGTGCAATAGATTTTGTTGTTGTAGATACTGGATTAAAAGAATAGCAACCTCTTCTATGGCATTAACAGCAGACTGATTCACTGTGAGCTTTGAAAACTGTAACACTCCAGAAAGTGCTTCCTATTGCAGTTGTTAGTGACAGAAGATGATGCTGGCCTTGGAAATGGACGTGGCTTGGGCAAACTGTTACGTGAGTACTGGCAGCACCAACCCAGACTATCTCAGTGGGAGTGATTACTTTCTCTGCAGGAGTTCAAAACTTGCATGGTTGTGAGGACTTTTTGTAGCGTTACTTTTGGGTTGAACTCTCCAATAAACTCTCAAGGGTGGTTGTTATAATGCAAATAAAATAGACGAGCTTTTTCACTTGAGAATTTTGTCAGTTATGTGAGATGTAGGAATGGATCAAATCCTCACTTCTTTGTGGGTGCTGGTTTCTGTCCTGTGTGTTCCATCACATCCCAAGCACTAGAGCAGGAAGTACCTCTGAGCCAGTGGCTGGGAAGAAAGTGAACCTCATGGTTAGCTCTCCATTTTCCCCTTTTAGGTACTGTAACTAAAGATGGACATTCAGTTTCTGAAGCTTTGCAAGCCTGACAGCATCTTTTCCAGCATCTGTGAGAACTGTAGCGACCAATTTCACTCTGTTTTAACGTGAGAGATGCAGGCACACAGGTAGCAGAGGAGAGTACCTTTATGAGCACAAGTGTTTTGTTAAATGATAGCTGAGGGCCATGTGCAGCCTGTCCTGTATTATTAGTCTGTTAGACTTCCCACTGGTTTCTTAAAACTGTTTGTGTTTGGCTGTGCTGTTTGTAGTTATGCTGTGCTGTTTTAGTTGGAGATGTCCTGCTGCTAAAACGTCCAAAATACATATTTATCTTAAGTTGTATCTTTTTTTGAAATCCAATATTATATTTTTGACCTCCTGCTCACTACTTGCATACATCTTGTAATTCAGTACTAAAAATCTTTCTTTTTTTCCTGTACGAAACAGACCTGTTGTCAGGTCTAGTGAAGACAGTATTTCATTTCAAAGAGCTGGCTGCTTTAAACCACTGTGTAAAATGTCCAAGCGTGGTTAAATAGGGCTTGTGTGCTGTCCTCCTTTTTAAGGAGACTGGTGTTTATTTTGCTAATGATGAGGATGAGTGTAAATCTGGCTGCAAGCACAGTGTTCTGTGCACAGCGGGCTGGTTTGCGTGTCCTTGGCTAACCAAGGGCTCTCTCTGGTGAGCGATGCAGATCACACCGACTTGGGTTTTGCAGAGACCTCAGCTGAATTGCTTCCAACCCCGCTGTTTAAATGGTTTTGGTGGTGGTTTTACTTTCTCTTTGCTTTGTTTTTTTTAACTGATAGTTTTTGCCTCTTTATTTAGAAAGGCCGCTATCTGTAAAAGACTGGCAGAGTTGTTTTTCTCTGTTAGGCTGTAATTTTGGGCAGTGGATAGAATGTGCTGCTTTCAGAGCAAAGAGTGTGTATGTAAGTGGAGGTGGAGTTTGTATGCATGCGTGTTGTTTTGGAACTGTTGTAGTTTTACAGGATTCGGTGCTGTAATTTACCTGTAACCAAAAGGTAATCTAGGAAACCTATTTACTTTTTGGCTTGTGTGTTAAGTTGCTGTGCTGACATCAGTTTATTTTTTGCAGCAGATGAATGTTTTGAAGTCTGTCTGTGCTTGACCAAGATTCAGCCTGGAAGCTTGTGAAGAACTCAGCATCATAATGTCCATTTTCCTCTAATCCTCTGTTTTGACATCTGAAAATAAAATGCTTCTAATTCCCATTTAATGGGGATTTTTGAAGGGAAGAAGGCGCTTTCAATTGTCCTGCAACTGTTACAGGATTTCTTCTGGCTTGCATCATCTTGCCTGCTTGAATAGCTGTCTCTGTTAATGGCAAGGGTAAAATGGTATTGTTTGTGTCATTCCCCAGATTGAATTTGTCAGAGAGAGTCATTGTGTGGATTGTGGTGTCAGTATTTTTAAATAATCCTTCACATGGTTATGAACAGGACAGAGTCAGTCTATATAGTGATAAAACTTGATTACACTTTCTGAAAACTGGATTAAACTTTGTCTAAATATACAGAAATCCTGAAATTCCTATTTTGAAGCTTTTGTCAGGTTTGTTTTTTTTTTTTTGCTTGGCCATTGCAACGTGCCATTTAGTCTTAGCTACCAGGACAGAAGACTTGTTTTTCAATTGGGAATTTGGTTTTAGTGCTGGAGGACACAAACGTTATGGGTGCACTGCATTACGATGGGCACTGTGATTTCTTTGTAACCCCAGCTGCTTTTCCTTTGTCTGTAAGGTGGCAGCTGGTGCTGTTTGGCTCGTGCCACCATGGCAGGGAGCTGCAAGCTGTGCTGTGGGGAGCCCTGCTGGTTCCTTCCTCCAGCAGCTCCTGGCCATGCTTCTGGTGTGCCAGGAAGCCCTCAGGAAGAGCTGCGATGCCCACGTGATACTGCAGCCATTTGAAACCCCTTGACTTCATAAGATCTCCTCTGCTGGAAGTGAATTCAAAGCACACCGACTTCCTCATCCTCTGCGTCAGTGCATTGTTCAGGTGCCAGCTGTGCCTTTTTGGGAGTTGGCACAGGGGGACGCTGCCCAGCAGAAGGGGCTTCCTGCCAAGCGGTGTCCTTGTCAGGTCCGTGGGATGTGACAGCATTTTGTGGGAACAACTCCTTTGAGCTCTTTGAGACTCATATTTAATTCTGTCTAAATCAGGGCTGCTTGTACACATTTGATAAGAATAAACTGTTAGCAAGAGATTTGAGAAGAATTCAGGCCGCTTTTTGGAGCGTTTCTAGTACGTGTTGCCATCTCTGCTTCTTGCTACATTGCCACTGTCCCTTAGACATCAGTAATGGTGGATGTGAAGGAGTATGGCTGTCAGAGAGTGCAACCCTGATCTGTGTCTAAAGGCTGCATGCAGTATTAAGAAGATCCTTTCTGCTGGCTGAATTATTCACAGAGCTGCTTTTCTCTTCTCTCTTTGTCCTCTGTAAGAGGGAAGGAGGAAACGTAGTATATGCTCGTTGTCTCATTTGCCAGTGTGGGGATGAAGAGTTTCTTCTTAGGCTCTGAGATTGAGCAGCTGTGACCGTGTAGGGGATCACAGACTAAACTTGATACTCCCTGCTGCACTCAGTCTGTGTGCAGAAGTGCTGATGTCTATCTAAGGTTTGCATCTGGGCAGCAGTTAAACTGCAGGAGCGCTTAAGGGTGAAAGCGGCCCCTGAAAGCATGTCAGCATTTTCCTATTATATGGCTGTTTGGGTATTTTTATTCTGTCTTCCCAAGTATTCTGTGTTACTACAGTCAAATGCTACAAGAAAACAAAACACTCTTTTTCCGGCTTCTTCCTCGAGCGCTCGGGGTCTGGTTTCACTGTGTTTTCTTCCAGTGTCCTTGCTCGTTTTTCTGTCTGCAGTGTAAACAGCCCACGCAACAGGGGAGATGAGAATGAAAGCTTGAAGGTTGGTGTTTGAAGAAAATCTGACTCCTGCCATGAAAGACCTAGCAAGGAGTCTGCTTGGAATTAATTTTCTCTTGGTGGCTGCGTGCTCTCAGCCTTGCCCTGCAATGCTCCAGTGTGCAAAGAAGGCTCACTTCTGCACAACAGTTACCTGTGTACATTGTCCAAACCATTTTTTAGGAGCAAGAAGGGGGGAGGTTAGGATGGGACACCCTACAACAGGAAGGATACTTGGTGAGCAGCCTCTTTTGAATACTTTAATTTTTCTTAAGTGTTTAAAGCAAATTCTGTTGCTGCTGAGCTGCTGCTTGCTTGATGCTCGGGCCCGTGGATGAGATGTGCCACAAAGCCTCAAAGCTGTTGCTGTCACAGAAATCAACTGAGCTCCATAGATTTTCTTGATCGAAATGGAAAGGTTTTAGTTGGGAAGAAATCTCTGGTAGAAAAGTCCTTCACTGCTTCTGTTGAGTCTGGTCTGCGTGGAGGTGCTGCTTTGTTACAACAAGAAGCCAAATTCCAGCAGTTGCTTCCTCGTTTTACTGCAGTCACTTAGAAGAACTAAGTGTAAAACAACAGAATCTGAAGGACAGCCTGAAGCTTTGTGCTTGGGAGAGGAAAATCATCTGATGCCCAAAAAAAACCAACCCCAAACTATTAAGTAATTGAAAACCTTCCAGCTGCTATAGTAACAGCGACACATTGCCAGATGTCAGCAAGCATTTTAATCCATCTATCTTAAAGCTTCGAGCCATTGGAGGAAAGGCTCCCTAGGTGTGGCAGCCTTCAGAGCTGCTTCAGCCTGCAGCTACTTGGGTCGCTAGAAGGAACTGTGTGGTGTCACTGCTGGAGGCACTTAGAGAGTCTCCTTCTCTGGAGTTAAACTTAGTTAAACTTAGAGAGTCTCCTTCTCTGGAGATGCTCAAGACCTGCCTGGATGCCGACCTGTGCGACCTGCTGTAGGGAACCTGCTTTGGCAGGGGGTTGGACTCGATGAGCTCTGGAGGTCCCTTCCAACCCCTACAGTTCTGTGATTCTGTGAAAAAGCTTTTCCCAGATGTTCTTCTGGGGGCAGAAACCTCCCCTGAAGATCTGCGTTTCTCTACGAGACGCTTGTATGATGTCCTGTTGGGTATGCAGCGCATGCTGTCCTGCGTGTTACATTGTTCTGAGATACCGTGACGGTTTTTTTGGAAGGTGTATGAGCCAAAAAAGCAGAAATAAGAGTTTCCAAGAGCTGCTTCACCTCACACCAGTTCTGTGTGGCTGCGGCCGTCTGTGCAGCCGGGGAGCGCAGCGCGGCGTCGGCAGAACCGCCCTGTCCTCTGCTGACACTGACTGTAAATGAGCTTAAGCTGAGATGATGGATGGAGGGTGGAAGAGGCTGCTTTCCTAGTTAAACATTTTAAACTGTCAGAGGAGGTGAAAAATGTGTTGTACCCTTTCCTGTGGCCTTTTCTTCCAAAGAGCCCGTCATGCAAGAGAGGGAGGCAAAATGCGCCAGAGTGTGGCTCAAGCCCTTGGCTTTTCTGTGTTCGTTTGTTTTTATTGTAAGGTAAACCTTTCGTGTTTTATTGTCCTGAAGCTGGAGCCTGGCCTAGAGGTGCTGCTCTGTAGCAGGAACAGCTGCAGGCCCAGTGTCCCCTGCTCAGGTGGGAGGCTCCTTGAAGCGACGTGCTGCCTCTTTAAAAGGAAATCGAGCATGTGAGAACTTCAACCTGTAAAACTCATCAAGGGCTGCGCCATTGTTTATCTCTGGTGTAACTTTATATAGAATTAAAGCAAAATGCATTGCTTGGCTTCCAAGAAAAGATGGTTCAGCTCCCCCCTTGTCTTGGAGACGCAGGAAATGACCACATAACCACAAATACTTTCTAGTGCAACGAAGATGAGTGACAAACTGTCCACAGAAATAGATTCTTAACCAGATGGGCTAAGAAGTGAAATGTAGCTCAAGCTTCTGGTTTGAAGTTAAAACCAATGTTTAAACCAACCAAGAAAAGAGCAAATGTTATATAAGCAGTGGCTACATGAGAGGCAGATCTGAGCTCTTCTTATTGATAGGGGTGTTGGGGTCAGCCGCAGCTTTCAGCACGGCTTGTTGCTTTTCCTAACCAAGAAATGGAATGAGCCTAGCTGCTTTTGGCAATGGCCATGGTAATGAACAACTTCTTGGGCTTTGTTTCTCAGGTTTCCTTCTTGTGCAGAAAACAGAAAACACTCACAAAACGTTACCTGGCAGATGTGTATTTCTCTGAAGTGTTTTCATTACTTAAAGCGAGGCCCTGGCTAATTTACCATCATTTTTCTTAACCAGTCAGCCTCTGTACTTGCCTTCCTGCCCAATAGGATGGAGTGAGAGCATCTGAAACTCATGCTTTGTGTTTTAATTGCGAAGAAAAATGCCAGGAGGAAGCAGTGCTGATGGTGTCTGTGCAGAGCCCTCACAACTGGGGGTGTGATTCTCACTTCTGAAGGAGGGAGGTGAAAAGAGCTCCAGATAATGAACATTTCTGGATGTGGTTGGAAAGAAAATGTATTAACTGCAGCTGCTTCTGTGTTGTAGCCTTTTTAAGACAAGAACCTAGCTGGTTTACCACCACACTGATAGGAAGAAATGTGGGTTTGACTGGTAACGGTGTCTGGAAAATGTGGTGACGTTAGGAACTGCTTGGGCTGTGCATTGAGATGATGCAGAGTTTGTCATCCTTTAAATCATTTCTCATTGATTAGCTAAACTGTTTGAATTGGCAGAGGGAATCTTCTCTTGGACTGGAAGCGTGGGACTGGTGTTGCTCACTGCAGGACAGGCTTCTGAGCGGGCAGTTCACACAATCAGTCCTGAACGGGCAGCCCTCCAAACTGAATGCGACTTCCTCAGAAAGCGGGATTGTGACCCGCAGCACAATAGCTGCAAACAAAAAGGCAGTGTGTTGGAGGAAAAGGCAGCCAGGAAGGCAGGCCGGGGGGCCGGCAGTTGTCCGCTGGATGAATTCTTGAAGATAGTAATTATCCCTAATAGCATAAACATTCTGCTAGAGCCAGCACCAGCTGTTTTATAGCAAAGGTGCAGGAGGAAGGCTCTGCCTGGGGAGGGGGAGCGGAGGGCTTAGCAGGGATGGACTGCTGCTCTTCCTAATGCCTGATGTCTCTTCCAGTCCGAGCAGAAATGCCAGTCGCATCCAGACACAGGATGAGTAGTTGGCTGTTTGTATGACGTTCCCCTGAGTACTGCATCTCTTGCTGTCTGAACTGCAGACCTGTGAGGAGCCGAGACTTTTTTCTTTTAGCTGTGCAAGTGATCAGAGTGAAAGCCGGACCTTCTGTGAAGGGCTGGAAAGCGGCTGGGGGCGTTGTGTCAGCACTGCTCGGCAGGTGGGCACAGTGCTTGTCTGCCACGGCGAGTTTGTGAGCCGGCTGCGCTGTGATGAGCTGCTGAAGCAGTTAACTGTAGTGCAACCAGAGCTCGTGAAAACGTGTAGGACAACGAAAGGAGTTTGCAAAAGCAGCTCTGACTGCCAGCCCTTGGTAAATATGGACAGAAGTGCTAGTGGGAGTCTTATTCTATGGTCATCTCTTCTAGTGCTTAAGGCTTGTTAATCAGTGAAAAGCATGGGGTGCTTAGTTAACATACTAGTTAGTGCAGTGAATGTGCTTCAGTAATCTGTGCCTGAGCCCCCTTTGGTGGATTTTCTGCAAGGAAAAAAGCTTTCGAGAGGAAAAGGAAGGTTAAGGAAAGTATATATTAAAAAAAAAAAACAAAACCCACTTAAAAAAGACCTTTACTCCTATATCAAGAGGGCATAGGATGCTTTGGCATTGTTCTGGGCACAGCCCGCTTAGTAATGCATTCAGAGGAGCTGAAATGAGGGCCATGTGCTTTTAGGGCTATTCAGTGGGAAAACAGAAGTATTCCTAAGATAGACTTCTTGTACTGGAAGAATTCAGATGTGTTTGCTGCAAACCTGAAGCTGCTGGGTATTTTTTAGTGAGCTCATGCATGCGTGACTGATTTATTTTTTCTTAAAAACATTCTTTTCCTTCTGCACCTTATCTGAAATTCTTGTCTTGAGTGGATGTAATTAAGGGTAGGATTTAGCTGCTGAACTCAGACTTTTCACCGTTATATTTATTGGGTTTTGAGAGGAATTTTGCAGACTTGCCTGAATTCTTACAAAAAATCACACGTGCGCCTTCCAAAGAAAGCAAAATGATTTTTAAATACGCCAGCTGAGTTCCCTAATGGTGCCGGGTAAACGCTTTCAACTGCTGCAGTTATTTCTATATATAGGATAG